CCCACAAATATGAAGGGCTTTAAATATGACCATAGGTAGACCTGCACAGTTCAAATCTATGTTGTTCAAGAGTCAACTGTATAAAATGTATGCATTTTCTGTAAGAATGGCACAGCTGAAATAGCAGCTTTGCAATGGACCCAGTCACAGTGATTGACTGAGGTGTATGGCCATGCCCTAAGTTAGACCTATCAAAGTTTCCTCCTGGGAGCTTGCTGTAATGATCTCTTTCTTTTCTAATTGCAAGGTTTTGAAGATGTGAACTAGGGGCCAAGGTTAACCTTATGGAAAAGCTGACTAAGATAAAGAAGCCAGTCCACCAAATGGTGATGGTATATAGAGACAGAAAGAAATAGTCCTAGAAATTTTGACTCCAATACTATTTGAAGATATTGCAATCCTAGCCTTCTATTGTTCAGCTGTGAGACAATTTCCTTTGTTAATATAGGCGAAGTTTAGTTTCTGTTATATAGATAAAGGTTAAAAAAAAAACACCTCAAGTATATATTGACTTTGAAGGTCAGATAAAATAAATTGACTACAGTTGGAAAAGAGGGCAAGAGGGCAGTAATCTCACTTTATATTAGAGTAATGTGAAAAATTATCTAATTGTTCCTGCTGAGAGTATTGCTAAAACTCATGGTATATCTATCTATTTCATAGCATAGATTCTTGCCTAGAGTCGTCATTTAAAAAGTAATTTTGAGGAGTCCCATATCCTTGTGCAGCATACACATAAAATTCATAATAAATTTGGTTAACTTCTACTGTTAAAACATTTATTTGTTGAATTAAGTTAATCTTAAAATACATAGAAATGGCAACACTTTATTGATTCATTCGTTTCCTTTCCAAGTATTTATTGAGCAGCTACCTTGCCATAAACACAGTTCTAATTACGCAGGATACTATAATAAGTATTTGTATTTAACCTTCTAGATCACTTTTTTGTTTTGTTTTTACCAATATGCATCTATCATAGGTAGCCATCATGCCAAAAGCAGTTGCTACATAAAAAGGAGACATTCTCCATACAATATGAGTTAACATAGGATTCCAGCTCCCAAATGTATTCCCTAGATGTGAAACATAATATAAAGTGATACAACTAGATGATCTTTAAGGCTTATTCTAGCTAAAATGAAATCTGAAGATTTTTTTTTTTTTTTAACTTACTGAATGTGGTCCCTTTCCAGGAGTCTAGAAACTGGTTAAATTGCAAATTGCAAACTCTATCCCAGACAAGCTGGATTACATACCCTAAGGGGTGGGGTCCAGCCATCTGTTTTAATAAGCTCTAATGTATGCCAAAGTTTGAGAATCTCTGCCAGACCTACACAATATGTAAATAATCAGTGTATATGAGGATAAATTTTCTAATTTCCTCTTTGTTGCATTTCAACAACAACATTTTCTCTTTTAGGCTTTCATGTCCTTCTCTGCCACTCTCCACCCCCATCCTACAGTTAAAGCTATTTTGATCAGATAATGCTGTCATCCCCTTCCCTTTAAGTTTTCAAACAGATCTAATAACATCATTAACTTTTACAAACACAAATTAAGTTCACACAAAAGAAAAAGAAAGAAAACCAAGTCTCTCTTGAGAATGATACTATGCATGTCTACTTTTCTTGAGAACTGATAAATGTTATTAGGGTGGTATATCAATAAGAGCCACTCCGAACAAAAATGGGACAAAATATTTTGGGAATACTGCTGAGCTCTTTGTGAATTAAAAATCATGTCAGTGTCATAGCATTTCCTTGTGTAGGTTATTAGAGATCAATTGCAATATATATTACACACATACACACACACACACACACACACACACACACACAAGAATACTTTTAAATGCTTGTAACTAAAAAAAAAGATATCAGATGATCTCCTATAATTATCCAAACTTTCCTACTGCAAAACTCAGAATATGATGACTAAAGAAAGAATAAAATGCTAGGCACACAATCACTTCTATACGTAAGACCTTTCTTTTCTATTCAGAAATATTTGTTCTAGGTTAAGTGATATGGTTTGGATATGCATTCATTTGCAGCTATGTTTATGGGCAAATTCATCAGACAGTTTATTAGATATCACTTTTATTGTTCGGTCCCCGTAATTTGGCTTTAAAACAAACATATATGCCTCCTTTCCTGTGGAATCCCTTAACATGACCCGCGTGGTTCAAGGCCCATTCAGGGTCCAGTTTCTGGAGAAGGCTGCACACTAAAATGGAGACTGGAAAAGAGTTAATTTGGGAAAATGGGGGGCCAGGCAGGAGCCCACCTCTAGTGGGAAGACTGCAACCAGGCTCTGGCCTTGCTATCCCTTTTATTGAGGCTATGGGATACACCCAATACCCTTAAGCAGCTTTGGAAAACACCCTTAGACAGGTAATAAGCAGATTATCATATCAATAAGGATTTACATGATTACAAAATGAGGAAGTTGCCTCAGTTACTATTGTCTCACTTAGATAGGGAGTGGTTGGCTCTGACCTTTCAGAGCTTCAAGGTTGACTAGCCTTTTACATCTTTCTATTAGTGAGACAATTATTGGTTTCTGGCACTTCCCCTCAATATTTTTAACTCTATATAAAATTTCTTCTTTTCTGATTATTTTACCTATGCTGCTTAATGTCTGGAAGATAGTGATAGTACTGCTGCTGGGATCCTACTAGCTTTCCAGTTTGCAGATGCCAATTTTAAGTTTTCCTTTTCAGTTAATTCCATTCTGCATTTAGATATAGATATAGATAGATGATAGCCATTATTTAGGAGTAAATGATGATGTGGGTGTGGATGATATGTTTTAGAGAAATAAGTATAATTGGATTTTAAGCCAGAATAGTTTGGTTCATTAATAATAAATATTATAGGACAATAAACTTTTTTCAGTCTTTAGTGAAGGTAATTCATAGTATCATGGAAATATTCTTATACTGTAAAATGGTTATTTTATCAGTGGGAAGGAAAACACCCATTTCCTCTTCTTCAATATTCTTCCCTAAAGTCATTCTATTTTGAGGTTTTGGAGTTTTCCTACTCACTTGCTTATTATTGAAAGTCAAATATTCAAATCTAGAGGAGCAGCACCTTCTCATCTCTCTCATATTATCTCCTATAATTTCTGACCATTCATCTTTATTCAGATGCAAAAAGTAAGAATATCATTAAAGATCAGGAATTTCCCGTGTGGGAGTTTGTAACCATGGTACAATTATTTCTACTGTTACATTTTTATCAAATGAAGAAGGACCTGCAGAGATAAAATAACTTAAAAATATTTTATCCCAACCTCAAAGAACTGAAAGCATATTTTTCATTTAACACTTGTAATTACTTCTTCTCTTTTCTCCTCTCCAATTTGCTTACTGCACACTGGCTCTTTTATTCTTTCTTTATTTTAATTCCCTTCCAGCAGCCTCTGTTTTCCACCTTCTATTCCCAGTGAGTGATTTTTATTTCAATGCTGTTATTCATTCAACACCACTTCTCAGTTTCTATTTCTAATTTTGTTGTCTCCTTTTTTATTTCATATTTCACATATGACTCCCAAAGATTGTGTCAAGATGAATAGTTCAGAACGAAGACAGTGACTGATTATGCGGGGCTTAAGGAACTGGGAAGAGGAGAGCAGTCAGGATTTTCTTCATGCAACAGAAGTGCATTGGGTAGACCTGGCCTGTGAGAAGCAAGAAGCAGAAAGCCCTACTAAGACATGACCAGAATTCAAAACCTATTAAAATTATTTAGAGTAGTGTGCCCAGTCTGCCAGGTCAGTAGCTAATAACCCGTGGGTTTGCTACTAAGGAAATTAAAACTTAGCTAATGAAAATGGTAGCTACCTACTGAGAATGGAACTGAAGGCTTTCCATTAATTCCCCTCCCTGGGTCCTTTTGACAGAACCATCAGGAAGTTATTTCCTATTTATTTAATAGCAAGAGGTTTGAAATGGAGGGAGGGAAAGGAAAAGGGAAGAAAAGTCCCAGGCAAGCTCTTATTCAGCTCCTTCCAGAGCAGAACCAAACAGGGTACTTTTCTCCTCTGGCCAAAACATACCTCAGCATAGGTCACGAAAAGAGGAAGGACAGTTAAAAAACAAACAAACAAACAAAAAAAAAACAACAAAAAAAAAGGGATCGCTGTCCCAGATAAGTACAGCCAAGATGACTCAGACTCAGAAATCCAGGGGATTTTTGGTGTGGGGACTTCAAATTAATAAACCCGCTGTTCGTCTTGCCCAATCCACAGGGTTGGGCAATCTCTTTCAAGAAACGCTGCTGGACCTCATGATCCCAGGGGCTGAGCGGTGGCTACTTATTTCCGCAGAAGCCAGAACACCTCTGTTGGGATGCTTAGTCCCTCTGAGCATGACTGGGGGCCTTGGGGCATACTTTGGTCCTGCATAAACACCTAGGGGCGCTTTACTGACCCTGAATCCAACTCTTGACCCGATGCATGCGACTTTCTGAATTGAGCTGAACGCCTGGTGGGTCTCTCTGCCAGGGGTGAAGCAGAGGGAAGCTAGTCTAGATGTGAGCAGACAGACAGCAGGCTGCAGGGATGAGGGCTTTTCAGGATCCAGACGTGGGGGTGGGCAAGGCAGGAACTTGTCTCCCCGTTCGCTGAGGCCCGGGGGTTCTGGGAGGGACCCCGGAGGGCAGCGCCGCCGCGGGGGCTGCAGCGGACAGGACAGCCGCGGGCGCCGCGGCCGGGGCATCCCCACGCGGGGCGGGGAGCGCGGGCGGCGGAGGGCGGAGGCGCAGGCGCGCTGCTCCCCGCCCGCAGCCCCGCGCCGAGCGCCGCGTCTCGGGGAGTTGATGGCAGCACCGCGGCGCGGCCACCGGGCTGAGCGCCGAGCGCAGCCTCCCGCCGCCGCTCCCAGTGCGCCCAGGATGTGGGGGGACCGGGGCGGCAGCGCCAGGGACCGGGGCGCGCAGCAGCCTCCGCTCGCCCGCCTGCTCCGCTGAGCTGCCCCCGCGCGGCCCCGGAGAATGTCCTCCAAGCCCAAGGGGACCCCCTCCTCGTCCTCTCTCGCCGCCGAGGGGCCGCCGGCGGGCTCCAAGACCAAGGTGAAGGAACAGATCAAGATCATCGTGGAGGACCTGGAACTGGTCCTGGGCGACCTGAAGGACGTGGCCAAGGAACTCAAGGAGGTGAGAGGCGCCCGGGGTGGGGGAGGAAGGGGGTTCGCTCCTCTTGGGGGGTCCCCTTGGGGTGTCGGTCCGGTTTTCGCTGGGGACCGCCCGCCCGGTTTCTTAATTCCAAGGAAACTATTCGTGAGAAGCCTGCAAGACAGACTTTGTTTGCTTGCTCCGGCGACTTCTGGGAAGAGTTGCTGTACTTTTTTTTTTTTTTTTTTTTTTTTTTGAAAAAAATCAGGAGGAAATCAACTAGTGTTTTAATCGATGGACCTGGGATGGTGGGAGGGGTGAGCGCGCCTGTCTACTTGTAATGTCGGGGGAGGGGGAGACGGGGGTGTGTCAACAGAGGGAGAAATGAGCCACCCGGCCCGGAGCGTGTGCGAGATGCTCCTCTCCTGCCCTCTTGCTCACTTGGGGTCCTTTGGCGAGTTGTCCCAGCCTGGCAGCCTCCCCAAACCGGGGATGAAGGGGGGCCGGGCTCCGGGCCCTGGGCCAGGCCGGAGCGGGCAGCCTGGGGGGAGCTGGGCTCCAGCTCTCCTCCCCCTGCCTGCTGAGCCGCCCTGGAAAGAAGGGAACCCGGTTGCTGGCAGGAGAGCCCAGACTTGGGGGTGTGCAGGGGGACTGGGACTTTCTTACTTTCGCAGTTTCGGAGGCATCTCTTGCCCTCCAGAGAATGTCCCTCCTAGTAACTCTGGGCCTCTCCTCCACCCGCTTCCTTCTCTTCTCCCACTTGGCATGGAACCTGGGGAGCTTGGCGCATCCGTGGTGTGTGTGTGTGTGTGTGTGTGTGTGTGTGTGTGTGTGTGTGTGTGTCTTGCCACTTGCTCTTGGGAACCAACTGAGACTGTTTTTGGGTCTTGCCCGCTCCCCATCTATTCCATTCCTGCCCTCCCACCTCCGGAGAGAAAGAAGCGGGGGCAGTATCTGGGCTGAGCTGCGGAGCTGAGGCTGCTGCTCCAGCCCGGGGCGCAGACTGGCTTAGGAGGGGTGGTCTCCGGAGCCGGCTGGCAGCTGGTGGAGTCCAGAGCTGGTGGCAGAGCCCAAGCCCACTGTGCTGCTAAGGAACGGGCGCCCGGTGTGCTGCTGCTCCGTCTGGGAGTCTGCGCCCCGCAGTTGCTCCTAGAGCTAAGGCTGTAACTTCTGAGGTGGTGTTGCAGGGGCGTGAAGGGAAGGGGTGGGGATTTTTAGTCTAGGTCCAAAATTGTAATCTTGCTTCTGAGACCCAGTGGGAGGAAATTGAAGGTTGTTTGGATGGCTGGCCTCGAGAGATTAACCTCCTCTGTCCAGCTTCCAACCCAAACGTGAAGAAAGAGGGCTCCCCACCTTCCCCCCCCCCGCCCTTCCTCTCCCCAGCCCCCCTTACCTCTATGACCAAATGCAAGTCTGTTAAAATGGCCCATTCATAGGCAGAGTTCTGTTTTGCCGTGGTACATGCCATTCCTGAGGGTGTTCCACAGACAGAACGTAATTACTACTGCGGTCCTGGGAGTGGAGACTGATACAGCTGATAGATGTGAGGATAAAACTTGTTCATGTTTGCAGGGCTTCTCCAGGATCATTACTTCACAACTGGTTGACAGATGGCGAGTTGATGCATTGAAATTCAAGTCTAAAGATGCTGTTCATTTCTTTGTTATCCTTTCATTTGACATTTTTGGCAAGCTGTGTTTTCATCTGAAACATTATGGCGTTGTAAAAATGAACAAATTTGGGCATGTTCCCCTTGGCAGAATTGTGCTTTATAGTTGTTGAGGTTTCTAAGGCGGGGGGGGGGGGGGGGGGCGGGGGGGGAGGATGGCATGTGGGAAACCTACATCAGCACGTAACATATTTACTGTCTTATGGCGGAGGTTGAGCATAAGAGAAAGGTAGTCAATCAAATTCTGCATCTCCAGGCACATCCTTTCTTATGATGTGTCACTTCATTCCTTACTTGAGACAAAATAAATGACAAGATACTGCACATGGTCTTGGTGCTGTCTTGCCTCATTATTCTGTAAATATTGGGAGATCATGGAGAGCTATAGTGAAACTTTTAACCTCCCTAAGGCTCTTGGTTAGAATCACAAAGAAATAAATCAAGGAGTCCGTGAATATCTCTTCCTTTTACTCTTTCTGTGTTTTCATTTACTGGAGAATATTTAAGGGGGGAAACAGGTAGTTTATAAAAGGAATAAAAAAGCACAGATAATGTGCAACCTAGAGATCAAATTTTGCTTGATGCTTTGGTAGTTTGATTGGCTGCCAGGGCCTGTTGGAGTAAAAGTCTCACCCCTGAGAGTGAAATTTATGAGTGATAAATGATGTGCAGTGATTGTTAATTATTTTTGTGAGGATGTCATCAGCCTAGGTCTGCAGATGGAATTGTATTATAGTATGGCTGAATCTGGAAACATTGGCTATTCATACAATATAATGATAGGTATTTCGAGAACAAAATATTTATAGAGCATATTTAACCTGTAACCTTTTGCAGTTGTCCAGCATTTATCTTTTAAAGATAACACTGCACATGTGACTGAAAATGTCTTTGATGTAGTTTTTAACAGAGGAGTAACGAAAACTTTGTAAATTATAAAGTTTATTGGTCTCTATAGTTATGACTTATAAATATAAGTGTCACTATAAATTCATCAGTTGTTATTCTCAACATCCTGACAGTTTATCATTGCCATTTATTAAATACAAACTCATATTTAGAATTCTAATTCCTTTATTGGCAAGGCTGTGCTTTTAGGCCTTAGTATATTTTGATACAAGTGAGCAAAGAACTCTTATTAAATTAGAACAGAAGTTAGAAATTAAAAAATTATTATGACTAGATCGCTATATCAATGAACATAAGGTGTTTGTTTTACTTTCCCTCTTTTTTTATTCTATCTAAAATGTAACATATTTTTAAAATATTCTGCTTTCTATTTTTGCATACTAAACTCTTCAACAGTATTAGACTTTTGTTTCATATTATTTTGAAACTGGTTTTCTTTTTTAGAATTTTCTATACTTTATTTAACCTGAAAATTCAGCTATAATGGTCAATTTCAACATCATAGTAGCTTATTGCAATGCCAATAATCAGAAACAAAATTCCATTATTATTTTGGGTGTTTTTTATGACTGGTTATTTCAGAATTACTTAATCATTTATAATTAGATTATATATTGAAAGAAGAGGAACAGGATTTCTACAAAGTTTAAGTTCAGTTTTATTCTGCTCTCAGAATTTAGTGAAACCTCAAATAACTTGACTTTTCAGAAACAATAGGGTTGTATTGGTCTTTTGTACTACCATGTTTCCCCGAAAATAAGACATCCTCCGAAAATAAGACCTACTTACAGGTTTCCTTCTGAGTGAAATATAAGGCATCCCCACAAAAACAAGGCCCCTCCTAGGCTAAACATGAGAGATTTGGTCCACTGATTCTGAAAGAAATTGAGTCACAAGAAATTCACCAGGAAATTCAGGAATTGGATTGTTATGATGATGTTCCAGGAGATGATGACATGATTGTCATTGAATAAATGAGTAAATTCTTGATACTGTAGGATTCACAGTTTGTCTGGTTTGTGTTGACAACTACGGTACTACCATACCATATACAGGTAATAAATTTCCTTTATTTTTATTTAACAATAAATGTGTATGATATTCTTTTTCATGGAAAAATAAGAATCCCCTGAAAATAAGACCTAGCGCATCTTTGGGAGCAAAAAGTAATATAAGACACTGTCTTATTTTCGGGGAAACAGGGTATAATGGAAAGCTTTAATATAAGTCAGGCTATTTATTCAGCAACTGCTTTATGCTATATTATCTTTTAGTGTTACCAAGATGAATAAATTATAATTTCTAGTCTCAGTGTGCTCAAAATATTAGTTTGTGATGCATTTATTATGTCTTTGAACATCAATAGCGTAAAAAGGCATTACTGCTTTTAGTGGCCACTCTCACCATGATCTAATAAGGGGAAGAAAGCAGAATTGAGAATAAGAGTGAGTATATGTAGATTAATAAACCAATACTTCCTATGTACTTAATAGTATGATAAGCTTTTGATGAAGAGAAGGTTTAATAAAAATGGTGAGATATGAATTTTAAGAAACTATTTATTCAGATTCCCATGATTAACACAAAAAGATCAATGCCATATACAAGAGATCCTAAGTGTTATAACTAAATATTGGATATTTTTATGAAGGATAAGTTCTTGGGGAAATGGAAGGTCAAAAAGAAAAATTTTGGATCTTCCTTCCTTTGAGATGTGGATAAGATTTGAAAACAGAGAGAGGAGAAGGAATTAACAGGAAATAGAAATAGGAATGAATAGGGAGTTAATATAAGATTAATCCATGTTCCTTTTTCTACACTGAAAAAAAAATAGTGGCAAAACTCTAGAGTTTTAGGGATAAAATTAACTATTGCTGGTTTTTAGATGTGGGATCATCCATTTTTAGAAATGTAGAAAACAGACCCATTTTGCTTTTTAAAAATAGTTCTCAAATAACCTGACATCTCTAGAAACCAATTTGCCTGTTCTTTTATAAAGAACTCACTGGTGAACTGTTTTGCATCAAATGTTGGTGTTAATGTGGGATCACAGATCTCATTAGTTAGAGAGAAATTGAAATATGTAATAAACAGTCTTTGATTTGGAATCAAAATTCATTGCTGCTTTAAGTGAATTCTATTTTAGTTTAAACTGATTATAACCTGGAAAAGTTTTACAGTGTATCAATTTATAATTTTAACTGACAAGGTTGCTCTGTGGGTTGAAGATATCTATAATAATAAAAGTGTAATATGCTAATTAGACCAGAGGTCCTTCTGGATGACCTTCCAGACAAAGCCAGGATTGCAAGGGCCAAGGCAGTCTGCCCTGGCTGTGAGGGAAGCCAGTGCCAGCAGCCAGGGGAATGGAATGAAGGCCTACTCTTGCAGGAATTTCACACATCGGGCCTCTAGTATATATATATATATATATATATATATATATATATATATATATATATAT